TATTAAAATGTATCAAACTCAAAAGTCAAGTACATTGTTAGATATGATATGCATTAATTTTCAAGTTGTTGATAGAATGTAATGACCCAGACTTTAATTTTCCTCAAACTAAGAAGTGATTGGGTCAACAGACCAAAACAAACACACTACAGTTAATAATTTAGGTCTAATGGGAGTTGATAGCTCTGCACAGCACCTCTGTCAATTATGCCCATCATTAGAATATAAACTATGGTAATATAGGGTTAGTAAGGGTAAGTAATTTACATCAAATCCCATGCCTTTACCGACAGGATTGTCCGAATAGCACCAAGCTGATTATTGCATAGAATTCCAAAACACCATAATAAATAATCCAATGTAGAGCATGATCCCCATTACATCTATAATTACAAACTGATGCCACGTTAATCACACTTTTATAACTCACTGGAGAAACACGCGTCTATATCCTGATGCAATGGGTCAGTTCCTCTCCCTGCGTCTCCAGATCCAGGCCGACTAAAAAGCCGCTCAGCCAGTTTGTGAATCGCAGCCATGACACCTGCCTCAGAGTGTCAACAGAGCAGCATCTTCAGACCATCAAAGCCAAGAAAGTCCACCGCTTGTAGACACAAAACACAGCGAGTTTGTCCACACTATTGTTTCACAGAGAACGGAGTGCAGAGCCTGGGCTGGGCCTTCCTTGCTCCTCCACATCCGGCAGCACCTCTTCCTGTTCGGCTGCTTATTAGCTCAGAATTCAAGTGCAACAACTACATGCTGTGTTAGCAAGTTGTAATAATTCATAACATAATTTCCAGGAGTCAAATTTCTCTGTCAAATATTTGAACGCTCAAAATCAACACTAGGCAAAGCAAAATAGAATGAAGGTCAATATGGTTTAGATGAGTAATAGTAGAAAGACATTCATTAAAAATACTTGAACTCCTCTTACTATGCATATGAGTGAAGATGGGCCAACTTAGAGCTGACCTAACTCAGCGTTTACCTTAATGTCGAAAAGCAGATTAGAGCTGGTTTAAACAGGCTCTATGAGCGGAAATGTTTAGCAAATGTGTGTAGCAACAACCTAGCAACCGAAGAGCCAATCAGGAGCTCCGATCTGTTCTTGCTTGCGCCATTTGCTAGACAAACTTGGGGACAGAAGACACCTGATTGGTCAGTTGTTACACTTCACGTGTATATCATTAGCACTTAGCACATTTCCTATAGTGCTTTTGCCTAAGAAACTAGATTACGCCACTTATTAGGGCTGGGAATTAACAACTTATGATACAAAACCCTTGTACTTACTTTAGCATTACAAGATCACAATGATCTCAATATCAGGACATGATTCATTTATAAATTTAGCAGGTTTCTGGAGGCATTAAAGTGTATTTGCATAAAGTAGCATTATTAATAGGCTTATATAGCTTCCTGAATCCCTGTATTGATGAGTGTATTAGACAATGAGTACCAGAAAGGAAAGAAAAATCATAATTATTATAATTATGAATGAGTGGGTTTATTAAACATTGGAAAATAAAAAAGGGGGTCATTACAGTTTTAAGTCAATTTCAAGGAGACATAACACATGTAAAAATATATTTATTTTTATAGACTCAGCAGTAATTACCCTACATTGCTATATAAGGTATATACCATAAGGTCAGAAGCACACTTCATTGAAGTTGTGTAAAGCAGCAAAGTCCATCTGGCAGGACTATATAGAGACGCTGATTTTCAAAATGATAGTGGATTATTGGCTTTAAGATGAAATTTCAGGATGGAGATGCGGGACAATATTTACAGGTGAACTCAACTTAATCTCCTTCTCAAAATGAACACCAAAATAATGGAGAAAAAAGATGAATGACAACATTCACATGTGATTGACAAACTTGTTACTCGACAAATACATTTCTTGGTTCAATTAGAATTTTTTAAACAATATTCCATATTGCAGATTTTGACATCAAAAGACTGAAACAATTGATCAACAGTAGCCTTCCCATCAGTGTGGCTTAAAAACTGATCTTTAAGATTAATTTGGCTGCTGAGGATGTTTAAAGTCTTCCTAAAATTCCCCAATCTGGTTCCAGATCAGAAATGGAGTTCCAGCCATGTGTCAGATTGGCTGATAGTTGTTCACTCCCAAACCAAATGTTTTCTTTGTTTATGCTGGACCATCGACTGTATAATGGCCAAGCAGCTAGATTTATGAAGAATACAACTTTAGTTTTTTGTTCCAAAAAAACAAAAACAAAGGCCCAATAGGGAATTTTGAGGCAACTAGCCTTGGGATCAAATAACCATCCTCAGCAAACAGGAACAGACATAGTTCATCCCCAAGTTTGGTTCCAGATTCCCGGTCATGGGGCCTGTTTGAGCTAGCTCGAATCGGCTTCTTCTGGAACAGTGCAAACGATAGGAGTTTCTTCATTCAGAAACAATTTTATTGAGTATAACTAACAATCTCTCTGCAGCCAGCGCCCGTACAAGTGTCACAATTTTGACTCTGCTGAGGGTGAGAAGAGGAGAGGGGTAGGGGTGTGCCACACGGCAGTGAACATTGCTTTGGGAGTCCGTACAATCCGAATACCACCATTAACCCCGTCACTGTGCTTCTACATGAAAAACAAGGACCATAATTTCACCTTTAATTGTAAATGATGCTCCAACTCATGGAGGTCACATCATTACAGATCAGTTTCTGGAGATTAGTTTACCTCAAATTGAGTGGCCTGCACTTTTTCCAGATCAGAAGTCCAAAGAAAACCTATGGGACCAGCTGTGTAGACTCCTAACCATGGACCCTAGAACCTCAGTGACCTGAAGGTTGCCCTTTAAGAAAAGTGTAATTACCAGACAACAATATTTTTTCTATTTGTATTTGATGCTCAACTGCAAATTGCAAGTTATGAAAACATTGTAGTTTTTCTTTCAATATAACATTTGTGGCAAGGAAATCACCAGAGCGTTTCAGTCCAGGCTTAAAATATACCTAACTGTTTGAGGGTAATGCAAATGGCTTGTCATGTCTTATTTACTTCCTAAAAAGTTGAAAAAAAAACACCCCCATTACCTTAAAGGCACACCGCGGACTTTGTGACCTAAAGAGTTGACACATATGAGTTATTTTATATGAATACTTGGGCCAATATACAGCGCTTGACACTTGCAATGCTCCGAGCGGGGCTGCCCTCTTGAAATACCGCCCATGTAAGTTTAGAGCAGACGCACCGTCGTTTACCAGGTCACGTGACTTGGAAGAAAGATTTGCTTTACGGCTACAGGCGCTGATATACTCATGGAGCTAAGGCTTTTGCTACTCATTTTTCACCTGCTCGACTCCTGGTCATGGCTGAGGCAAGGAAAAAGTTTAAACCTTCGGAGGAGGCTAAAAAGAGGAAACGCGAAAGGGATCGTGCTCGAGGAAAAACAAGGGTCGATCTGGGAAAGGAGTTTGCTCGTTGGCGCAGGTTGAAAGAAGAAGCTGGATGTAAATCTGATTCTGTTTTTTCAACTTCGTTATTAGACTGGTAAGTGAAGTCTTTGCTCCTAGTATACAGTAAAATGTCTTCTTTTCTTCAATCGTGAGTCAATGAGCCCTCTTCAACCAACAGGTCCACTACTGTCTGAATACACACTCAAAAGACACCGGCTGACTGTTTGTTGACTTTTGCGACATTGCTGAGTTGCTTGTGGCCACTAGGGGCGCTAAACGTGAAAGTTGCAGGTCTAGCACCCCTAGTGGCCAAGAGTTACACGGTGTGCCTTTAAGGTCCAGCTAATGAGTAGGGAGTTACACAATTACAGTAGTTTTGTGTGTATGATTTTTGCAACAACAAAACTACAATAACACCACCACTATTAATATTTATTTAACAGTTCCACATGGCAGAAGCAAACAATTGTGCGACCCGAGCAGTAAAAGTCAGTGGCCCTGCTCCAGAAGTCACAGAGACAGGTTAAGGTTACAAACTGCTGCCTGGTCTTATTCACACACAGCCTCCACCACCAACAAGTAGCTGCAGCTCATTCACAGCCCCCTGTCCACCCACTGCTCACTTCAGTGTCACAATTGAGCCCTTTTTATACATTAAATAAATACGACCAGTCTATTAAAGATGTGAGATATTCAAAGGGAAATCATGCAAACCATTAGTAAAGCAAATAATCCCTGTCATATCAAAAGACACAAATACATGGTGACATATGCGCGTATCCTTGTTCTAAATGCTAGTTATCACATGATATCCAAGAGACTCCACAACTCAAAAGTTTCTGCCTGAAGTGGATCACCCTGTGCATCATATGACCTATCCCGGTGCCTGTTGCCTTCTCTGATAACAACAACTCCCCTATATTCACTTACTGACAAATGCTCTCCACACTGTGCACATCGGTTCAATTTAGATCTGCATCTAGTGGAACAGTGCAAGAGCTTCAGTGTACCAAGAATGCAGAAACACTAGAATAAATAAATAAAAAAATAATTCAAAAAGAACTAGGTTATAGAGGCGTCAAATTAAATTAATTAAACATAACATTTGAAAAGGTAAAGAAACTTATGACCAACTTATTCTGCTTCTCTAATACTTATTAGAGCCTCCGGCACAATCACGAGCGAGTCCACAGAAGCATCCAAGAACTTGAATAACTATTCCCCAGAAAGGCCATGCACATGTCTGAGTTTTATGTGATTTTAAGGATAAAACATTAATTTAATAGCAGGACGCCACTCGAATGAACAATCATAAAGCATTACTATTTAATGGCAGTAACGTGGCGTTATCTTTTATATAACATAAAACCAATGTAAAGTGTGCCCCAGCAGTTCAGAGTCAATTTAGGGACTTTAAACGGGGTGTGTCCTTTATTTGACTTGAGACTAGAAACATTTTGTGCACATTAGAGTGAGAAGTACTTTATAGCTGGCACTGGAGAAAACAGGAAATGACCATTGATAAGCAGCATGATGTTAGTGCTGCAGCCTTGGTGGATCTACTCACCGCTCTCCATCTCATTGCCCTTCTTTGCTGTGGGCGTGTTGCCCATGATGGCAGTCTGCTGGCTGGTCCCCGGGCTAGGATCACTTTTTCACAAAGTCTTAATGATGCTGCAAAGCCTGCTATTGTAGTCTCAGGAGGAGAAAGCTGACCGCAAACTACTAACTAACTGCTACCATTATTGACAGTCGACAAATTGCTTCTTATTTTATACTGTCTTGGCTAGAGCAGAAAAATCCCACCTATGCAAGAGTCCTTAGCTAACACGAAGGATATCGGCTAGCTTGCTTGTTAGCTCGACAGCTAACTAAAAATATGGACATAAACTTGAGATTTAGCTTCAAAAAAGCCAAACAAAAACTGCAGGTGTCAAAAGTCAGTAAATACGCATAAGCTCCCTCTGTGTGGTGTGTGTCCAGAGATCCGCTCAGAGCAGGGTTTGGTGAAGCCGATTTCCGTCTTTGCAGCCGCTAGCTAGCATTAGCTTGTAGCGTCCTCGTAGTTCTGTGGCCTGATCTCTCCAGGTGCTTTCTGAGTGCAGACAGGCCTTTGGTAAAAACCTGGATTTCAAAACAACAGCCCAGTTCTCTGGTTGCATTCGTGGTTGCTTAATCCAAATGTCTGCTTCTCCATTCGTCCAGCAGAAGTCGTCGAACGAGGTTTACTAGCCCCGGACCGACCATCTGACAGTCGATTCCTAAGATCAACAGACCCCTTCCATTAATCTTCAGACCGCAGGGAAACTCCAGTCATGCATCCACAAACCCGCCCCACTGCGCCTCTCACTGGTCAAAACACAACACACTTTCGCGAAACTCGAGTTAGCATTGGCCAGGACTCCAAATATATCCGAGACTGGAGTCTCGTGATTGGTCCGTTAAATTTGGCCCGCCTTTCGAGTACAGTATCAGATGTTTTTTTTTTTCTTAAAATGTAATAACAATAAACATCTCATGAACAATCCCACCTTGAGATGCATATTTTGTCAATGAGATTTTTATAAACTACAAATACTTACAATGTGCTGATCCATAAAGACAGCTAAGACCATTACAGCAAACATGAAAAATGAAATGCAATTTATTATTTAAATCCAGAAAACGCACAATCAAAAACAGCTTCATATTGCCCTGTTGCTTCAAACAGATAACTAATTATATTGCAGACCCCCTTGTACAACAAAATGGGGAACAAAATAAATGTAACAAACAAAAAACTTCTTGTCTGTCACTATTTAGCTTAATCTTCTGCACTTCCAAGAGAAGATACTTTAAAGTCAACTTGGCCATTGTTGCAATGGATTTCATCTAGTCCAGTACCTACAACAGCAGGGTATTCAAAATCTGAAGTCTGGGTTGACAGGAACAAAAATGTTGGCAGTTGTAAGGCAAAGGGATGTTTTAATTTTACACTTTATGTCCATAGGCATTTTAGTTGGATTTGTGGTTGGCTGGTCACCTTAAAACCAGATGTCACTTCTACAAGCAGTCCATGGAGTTGTCGGGAAGGAGTCCCATGGGTGGAGCTTTTCCTGGGAGACAGGATGGTGGATGCATGGAGTTTGATGATGGGTCCACATTTTCACAATCTTCCATTCGCTCTGCAGTGCCTTCCCAGTTTATGTGAAATCTAGTAACACGTGGATTTGAGGCCAAGATATTTCTCTGGAGCTGTAAGGTAGACAAGAATGAAAAAATAGCTTATTGGTAATGTGCTGTTGGAGTGACACTAAAAATCATTGTAGGTTTATCAAAGAACACCGACCTGTGTGTAGTCAGGCTTGATTGGTGGATTTTCTCGAAGCTCAGGGTCAGTATATTCATTGTTAACATAATAACCAATGCGAATAAACTCTTGTCCACGATAAGTGCATGTAATAAGGGCCACAGTGACACCTACAGCATCACTCTCTGGAATTAATCCAGTGTTTGGCGCATCCGCCTATTGTGAGAAGTGCAAAAGAAAACAATTATTGTTACTTATTGTAGCTTATACTTTACATTCATTTATAGACAGTAAAAAAATATCGGCATTCATTTTCCCTCCAATCAAAACTATAAAAAGATATTTTGGACATTTGACAAGAAATTAACGATTATTTTCGTAATTGAAAACTTGGCTAATTAAAATGGTTTGAGAACACATTTACACTTTATATTGCAATCTTGAAATTATCAATCATTAAAACTCTTCTCTACATGTTTAAGTCCATGTAAGGTTTGAAAATAACAAAAAAACTAATTTTCTAATTTAACCTGGAACCAATCTAGTTGACAACCATTTCACTAAAATCGATTAGATTAATTGTTTCCGTCCTAGAGGAAATGAAAACGTGACATCGAATCATGAGCTCTTTAAGCTAAAAAGAAGAGGCACAAGAAATTTGTTTAAAGAATAATTCATTCATTCATTTATGCTAGTCCTAACAAATGTGTATGGACAAATTACTGTTGTATATTGTATACAGATACGTTAGCCTGGCCAGCAAGACAGAGTAGACAGTTAAGCAATAATTGACGTTAGAAACCCTTTATAAGCCTAGATGACCCTTCATTCCTTAGAGTTAAAATTGATCACAATGCAAAGAAAAGGGGTAACATTTTCTGCTGCAAAAAAAAGATTTTTAGACAATGTATTGAGCCCTAAAATAAATCGTGCCTAATATTTAGCCTAAAGCCAATAGTAATTATTATAGTAATTATCCTGACAGAGCTAGAAATAAAATGAGTGAAATACCTGAAAAACAAACATGTGTCTTCCAGCGGGGACAGGTCCAACCAGCACAGAGTCCAGCACCTGGTCATACTCCTCACTTTCAGCCGAACCAACATAGATTATCTTCCATTCCAGATCTGTTGAAAGAAGAATTTAATTTACTACAATCATATACCGTAGAGTGATTAATAACAATAGTAATACAATTAATTCATTGATTGTTTTGGTGAGACATTCCTTTTTCCTACATTATAAAAAAATAAATGTGGCATGTGGGCTTTATAAACATCATTAATTTAGAAATTAATATTACAGGAATATAGTGCTTTGTAACTGACCCACTGTGGCATCACTCCATAGGATTTATATAGCGCTTTTCAGGACATTCACAGACGCTTCGAAAGTCATTAGTTATTCACTCTATACACGGTGGTGATAAACTCCTACTGTAGCCACAGCTGCCCTGGGGCACACTGACAGAAGCGAGGCAACCAGTATGCGCCATCAGGCCTTCCGACCACCAGCAGCCATTCACACAGACACCACACTCATTCTAGATAATGTGGGTGAAGTGTCTTGCCTAAGGACACAATGACAGTTTGACACTTTAGAGACGGTAAAGTGGGTGCTCCCGTCACAGTACTAACCAGGCACAACGTTAGAGGTCGTTAGTTGTAAAAAAAAGCCAAAAAAATAAAACTTTTATTAAAACTGAATTGTAAAGTTAGCATTAGTTCCTCCTGTTAGCAGTTAGCATAAAAGAACCAGAACCAGCGATGCGTGACTTACCTTCTGGGAGATCCTCCATGCACTCAAAGGTGATTTCAAACTGGAAAGGGTTTCGAAATTGACTGGGGTTATCTAAAACGGCCACATTTAACACTTGCACCTTCGCCATTGTCTCTGAATCAGTAAAAAAGTAATGATTGCTAGCTTAGTCCAGAGCAGGTCCACAGGGATAGTTCTACAAGCAATACTCCAGCACTAATGACGGCATTTAGCCTACAGCAACAGGTAAGCCGAGACCATGCACATGTTTAAATATCTCACTAGTCATAAATAAGTGAACAAAGCAACAGAAATTCACAGTTTGAGACATAAACCTGTGCTCATTTGTCCACTCTCCCGCCGCTTTAGCAGTTCAACCCAACACCGGAATGATCAACGCGAGAGGACGGAGGCGCTCGCGTCGGAAATTGCGGCGGCCATCTTGAGACTGTCAAGAATAACAAATAGGTGAAATAATATTCCAAATCAAATCATACATTCATTTGATGCAACCCATTTTTTGTTTACCAAATTTAAGCGCTTTCTCTCAATGCAATGGTGACAGTATTGTTCCAACGTACAAGATTTTTTTGTCAGGTATCTTCAGCAAAACTGAAGGTGCTCATTTCGAATTGTATTTATTAATTATTCTTAATTCCCCTCACATAAAATGTATATTTATTTAGCTAAATTATATATATATATATATAAATAACAATTAGTTTGCCAAAGAAAAAGTGATGGAGCATACCGAGTTTATCATGTGTGTCGTGGTTGGAAAGAACTCACAGGTCTGTAATCATCAGGTTACATCGGGTCTGTAGGGGTAATTTAGCTTGAGGTTCTCTCAAAGCTTCTACCAGGCATGTTTGCATTAGTTCTCGAGTAGGATTAGAAGATTGGAATTTTGCAGTGGGGACAGAACTGAGAACTGGATGCCAGTTTCAAGTAGCGGTGGTTTCTTCCTCTAGTCTTATTTATTCTTTGCACGGTCCTACCCAGCTTTCAACGCGCCAACGACGTACGTGCGTCAGTAGACACAGTGGGTTGCGTAGACACTTGCTTAAAAATTAAAGCTGAAAAATAGAGATTATGTCGCCCTCTAGTGGCTGTATGGAGAATCTGCTGAACAGAACAAAGCACCTGCTTCAACTGCAATAAAGTGAATGTAAACTGTGATATCCAAGAATGGGATGAACAAGTGTGTGGTTGAATGCAAACACAGGGTTAGGGTTAAGAGGAGTTTAATACTGTCAAGGCTATAATAATATTCCATATTGGCAATTATCCATTCAAAAGTAGCGCCTGTTGTCTTGTTATATGTTATACCTGGAATGTATGAAAAACTATCTCTGAGCAGAGGCCAATGCTGTAATGTAGCCCATTCCGTTGAATGAGCCAAACATTTAAATCGGACTTGGCGGCATAAGCTATTCCCTTTCCAGTAGTCTTATTCAGTTTAGAACGCCTTTCATCTGCTGAGGGTATAAATCCAGACCAAAGATTAAACCTGTTGCACCTAATATTTTCTGTTCCCTCTTGGCTTAGGGACGGATTACAGCGCAGTGGACCAGCTGGCAGTCCAATTCATCGTTCAAAAATGTGAGGAATGCTGATATCCTTTCTCATATTGGACCACTGGAACTGTTGGAGGCGCTGTACTCCCTGTACTCCTGTAGAGGCAAGGCTGTAAAGTCCGCACCAGCGAGCAGCAGGTTGCCAAGTAATCGTTCTTTGGAGAGTCAAACACAGATGAGTCAAAGGCGGTGGAACTGAGCTTCATATCTTTCTTTTTGCTGTTGTTGCATTTTTGCACAGAGACGTCCCGTTCATTTAGGGACACCAGGCTTTAGTCATTTACAGTCAGTACACATAGAAGCTTTTAGATAAGTTTCCAAGCGCATATTAGCTAGGGGAAGAGTTTGATGTGCTTGACTAAACCTCTCTCCATACTCCATACAAAGGACCGTCTGTGTGCGCGCTCAGGTAACACGTCTGTGTGCGCGCTCAGGTAACACGAAACTGCGTCACGTGACCAATGGCGTTTCGAAGAGTAGACTATTAGAAGAAAAAAAAAACTGCTTTACATATTCTACCAAGGCGTGTTATAGCTGCTGAGGATGTAGGCAGGTGCGCCAGGATCTCTGCAAGGCGCTTCACCAGGAATTATACTTGTCCTTTGGCATCTTAAGTCTTTTTCAGTGTTTTAGTTGGCGAGGGAGAAGCGGAAACGAAATGGTTACTGGACATTTCCCTGTTTGGCTGAGGGGCTAAAAGGTGAGTGCACCTGCTGCGTAGTGGAATCATTAGATCTATTAAAAAGCCTGTTGTTTAGGATTATTATTCATTATATAAATATAAACAGTATAATGTATAGCCTTACTGTATAGATCAAAAAGGGAAATTATTTCAATTCTGTAGTTAGTATATGACCCTATATAATTACACATCATTACAAAATGATAAGTGGTATTTAAAACTGTCTTTAAGTCTAAAAAACTATACAAGTTGGAGAAATTTGTACAAAAAGAATATAATGAAGGCTTTGTAAAAGAAAATAATATGCACAGAATGGTAAATTGTACAGATAAATAGATAGATAGATACTTTATTCATCCATATTAGCAGAAATTCAGGTGTCCAGCAGAAGACTCTTCCAGGTTTGTTGTACGGTCTGACAGCCGAAGAAACAAAGAATCTCTTGAAACGTTCCATTCGGCAGAACTTATGTTGTGAAGTTTTTCTACTGGAGTAGTATTGCCTTGTATGGCAGCAGGATTAGGTTTTATAAGGAGAAATTCTATAACATGGGGTGGCCTTGGTTAACTTGCATGATTCAAAGCCAGGCATATTCATCTTCAGTCTGGCTTGAATTGAAAAATGTGTAATGTTGTTTTTGTTATTTTTTCTGAAAATGTTTCAAATAATAGCTATACACCCAGTCTGCATTCAAGTCGCCTGTTTGAGATGAGGCCAAGCTGATGCCTTCCCAGCAGTGCCTTTCTGCCCCTGCTTGTGCCTCAGTGGTGGCAGGTAGAGATGGCAGTCTGTCTGGACGTGCTGTCCATAGCCAGACTTGTGGTTGGGAGCGTAATCCTGCTGCTTCTCTACAGTGATGCAGTGTGGGGTGAGTCACAAGCCCATTATCCAGTTTTATCCCAAGTGTCTGACCAAAGCCTCAGTCACACACACCACTGGGCCCACTGATGAGAAATAAAAAAGATTACACGGCATTCCTGAAAGAGATACATACTGGGTTCTTTTCTGTCCTCAAAGAACAATATGAACTGTATTGTAAAAGTTTATCACAAATGTAGACTATTAAACAATGACGATAAACACTTCTTTCCCCCTTGTTGTCTGTCGCTCTTATCAGGTTGTACTTTTGCACTTTACTACAGCAGAAGTAAATCATTCACTTCAACTCCTCACGGTGTGGTTTCAGTTTAATCAATAGCTCCCAAAATGTTGAAAAGCAAAGCCAAACTGAAATCCTAAACTTTGAATGTATTTGTTTTGTCAATTCAGTCCATTCAATGAAAAAAACAAGAACAAAAGTTATTTGCATTTCAGATAAGTGAGCTCCTTAGTCAGCACTCCTTAGTGACGCTGTTGGCTACTTTGTTGTTTTGAGATGTTAAGAAATCTCACATGGGCGCTCACAAGTGATTTTGTGGCACAACAAGTAACTCTAAGTAACAGTTTGATAAGCCTTGACAAAATAAAATGAATTATAAAGTTGCTACAAAATAAATGTGTTACAGTGATTTAGGCTACTTTCACATTTTTAGCTAAACCAATACAAACTTGAAGAGGAGGACTCAAGTGCACATCAAGACTAAAAAACAATTGTAGGACTAAAATGTGTGAATGAAACCCAAACTACAATATGCTCACATGTAGAATAGAGATTTTTTGCTCTAGTATTGACATTTTTAATATGTTGATCATCTCACAATATTTTTCCCTTATCAAAAACAGACTTTGTGTTGTTCTTAGAAGTATTGCCTATTAATTAGTTTTGACAATTTCTCAGATGAGTTCACATTCTTAACAATCACATGCCTGTGTTTGCAGTAGGTAACTTGTATACAGTTATGTTGTTATTTTTTCCCTAAAGATATGATTTCACATTCTTAAACATGAAATGCAAAAAGTATATAGCCACTAATAATGTATGATATATGCTCACTATTTAAACCCTTTTAATTAAATCATAGTTTATTCAACGTTGAGGGAAATTCCTAGTTTATGAATCTGGTTCAATGACAGATAAAACATGTTTTTTAAATCTGAATCATTCTCACAATGGTTATTCAGTCCTTAGTCACGCCAATTCTCCTCTGTTCCCCTTTATTTTGCACCATTGTTGACCAGGGCCGGCTCTGGTCCATGACTGCTTATACAGAATGACTTATCAACATCATATATAACTTTACACCGTCATCAAACCTTGCCTTCTGTACAAACATTAACAAACAGTGTGTAAAAGTATAATAATTTCGCATGGTCTGTTATCTTGTTATGAGCTATGGCAATTGTCTTTTTCTTCCAGGGAATTACACTTTGTTCACGCGTGACTCCCGCTCAAACAGCACTAATGTGAGTATATCTATCACTTTTTGTCTAGTTTTGACGGCTTATACTCTAAATGTCTTGCTGCTCTTTCAGGGGCCAAACATAGCAGCCATTGTTGCTCCGACGGTGACGCTGGGAGTTCTTGCCATAGTGCTGGGTGTGGTGGGATGGCTGCTCTGTGTGGTGAAGAAGAAGAGGCAGACTGAGGGCACTTACAGGCCCAGCGCAGAGGAGCAGTCTGGAACCAAAAGTGTTGTGGCTCCTGATGCTCTCAAGCTGCCCAAAGAGGAGAGACTCATCTGAGACTTTATTAAAGAATGTTAACGTGGTTTTAGCTCTGACGGTTTAAGCTAAAACATGTCCTTTTGAGCCAACTGAAGAGGAGGTATTAATGGTCTGCCTGATTATTACAAAGACTGTTTCACGTGTGGATCAACCGGACATACAAATAGCAAGCAAGTCAAAATGGAAATGAAAACCTCTGTTGGTACGAATGAAGACAATTCAGTATTTCAAAAGCTATATGTGGTTTTTCTTGTGTACCATGTGCCTGCACTTGTTTTCTTGGCTGTATAATTACTTCACATTCTTGAATAATTTACTACTGTGTCTAATGTATCTTTTGATTTTTAATGTTGATTGTAGATAAAGACTTCATTTAAAATGAGGCCACACTGAATAATTGAAAACAAGCAATTGTTTACACTACAAGTATTGTTTCCAACTATTTACGTTTCAAAATGTAATTTTTCAGATTAGCGCTGCAGTGCCTATGCATTATCTAATCAAGCAAAATGTAAATTTATTTATGTTTTATTTTAAATAAATGCAAATATTATAAGGACATATGCAGTGCTTGAACATTGACAAACATTATAGTGTCTGTCTTGAAAAGTGACTTTTAAGTATAATGTTTATTGTGGTCATTAGTACAAAAAACTCAGAAACACAATGGCCTTCAAATCAGATTTAATGTTTCTCCAATAACAAGGCTTCACAGTTGCTTTTCTGTTTGGCAACAACAGGGCAAAGGATGTTGATGATCAGTGCATTCACAACATACAAAACTCTATGACACTAACGTCTAACACTAGAGCAATAATGATCTAGATGCTTCTCTCAGTTTGCAATGGGCCATTCCATTTCATGACAGGGGGGATGAAGATGAAGTAATGAGATATGTCAGCGGGGCTCGGCAGATGAATTTAGGCACCCTCTTCCTCACCCTCCTCTTCAAACTCGCCCTCTTCAGCAGTGGCATCCTGGTACTGCTGGTACTCGGACACCAGGTCGTTCATGTTGCTCTCCGCTTCAGTGAACTCCATCTCATCCATGCCCTCGCCCGTGTACCAGTGGAGGAAAGCCTTACGACGGAACATAGCGGTGAACTGCTCGGAGATGCGCTTGAACAGCTCCTGGATGGCTGTGCTGTTGCCGATGAACGTGGCGGCCATTTTGAGGCCACGCGGAGGGATATCGCACACTGCGGTCTTCACATTATTGGGGATCCATTCAACAAAGTAGCTGCTGTTCTTGTTCTGTACATTTAGCATCTGCTCATCCACCTCTTTCATAGACATGCGGCCACGGAAAACTGCCGCCACAGTGAGGTAGCGGCCGTGGCGTGGATCGCAAGCCGCCATCATGTTCTTAGCGTCAAACATTTGCTGAGTGAGCTCGGGCACGGAGAGCGCGCGGTACTGCTGGCTTCCCCTGCTGGTGAGAGGCGCAAACCCAGGCATGAAGAAGTGAAGACGGGGGAATGGCACCATGTTCACGGCCAGCTTGCGCAGGTCGGCGTTCAGCTGGCCCGGGAAACGCAGGCAGGTGGTGACCCCGCTCATGGTGGCCGAGACCAGGTGGTTCAGGTCTCCGTATGTCGGGGTGGTGAGCTTGAGCGTACGGAAGCAAATGTCATAGAGAGCCTCATTGTCAATACAGTAGGTTTCGTCTGTGTTCTCAACCAGCTGGTGAACGGAGAGCGTGGCGTTGTAGGGTTCTACCACGGTATCAGACACTTTGGGGGAAGGCACGACGCTGAAGGTGTTCATGATGCGATCGGGGTACTCCTCGCGGATCTTGCTGATGAGGAGAGTGCCCATACCCGAGCCGGTGCCGCCGCCCAGAGAGTGGGTCAGCTGGAAGCCCTGCAGGCAGTCGCAGCTCTCCGCCTCCTTCCTCACCACGTCCAGCACAGAGTCCACCAGCTCTGCGCCTTCAGTGTAGTGTCCCTTGGCCCAGTTGTTTCCAGCTCCGCTCTGACCTGGATAAAGATGAGAGAATGGAGTGAGATTAATAGGCATGAAAATATAATGAAAAATATAAAATTTCTCTCCACAAACCACATATTACAATTACTGTGCAACAATAGGTTGACCAATGAAAAAAGGTTGAAACTAGTGAATATGATTGGTGGGAAAACTCTAAACTAGGTGTGTCAAGCTCCAGAAAGGGCCGTTTCAAGTGACTCAAAAATTAATGGCATCTGGTGAGCCCTAGCTTGGTTGGAATAAAAATCTGCAGCCCTTTCAGGAATGATTTTGACACAACTGCTTCTAACAACCAGTATGGATTTTTTTATGGTCAATCTCAAAACTGAAAGTGTAGAATTCAGAGAAACTGATAGTGGATATTGCGCAAACAGTGCACCCAAGTCATGTGTTAATAAAAAGCCTTTTTTCAACATCAGAGTGCCTCCATAGAGCACCTGACTGTCATCACTATTTCTGCTTTTAGCAAATATTCCCTGTTCTGATAATAACTGGATTAGACTGATTTAATGCAATGTCCTCTTATGAAAGAAATCTTTGTTCATAACTGTATTCTATTTAAAGTCTTGATTATTGAAAGGCTTACCAAAGACAAAGTTATCAGGTCTGAAGATCTGCCCAAATGGACCAGACCTCACAGAGTCCATGGTACCAGGCTCGAGATCCACCAGAATGGCACGGGGCACGTACTTCCCACCTGCAAAGAAAAAAAAGCTGTCTAAATCAAGTGCAATTCAATGAACAGTAAAACGAGGGGGGGATGGTCCTGTGCTGTACCTGTGGCCTCGTTGTAGTAGACGCTGATTCTGTCGAGCTGCAGATCGCTGTCGCCATGGTAAGTACCGGTGGGGTCGATGCCATGTTCATCACTGATAACCTCCCAGAACTGAGCAAGAGCAAAAAGGCGTGGTCAAATTATTACCCAAAAGACCAACATTTGGACCAAAATCTATAGTCTATTTTTATCCAGACAAAGCTATTTAATCCTTGGGTTGAACAACACTTCTGAGGGATAATCAGGCAGATGGTCTGAGAGGTGAATGAGTGCATAGATACAGTGTTCCAAATGTTAATGTGAAAAACAATAAAGGATACTTCATGAATTTTTAAATAGTGTGACGTAATTATATTCTCCGTAAAATGGGTGTGTAAGCCGTCTTTATTAGAAATAGGTCACACAGTGGGTGTATGTGGGGGAGGGGAGACAGCACCACCTCGGTCACAATAAGACTGCTTTTCATTCATTCGCTTGCAGTATAATAGTTCCCCATTCCTTATTCTCTATGCGTACAAAGAACAATGGACCATTTTTTTTAAATAAATACACACATTTTCTAAATTAGATGTTACTGCACGTTTTCGTTTGTTGCGTAACTATGCAAATGAACGTGGGCTGCATGCGAGTTTTACACATTTAAAACATAGTACATTCCTTTTTTTTACATAAAACGTGTGGCATTTATGAAAGCATTATTTGCGACATTGTTTTGTGCTTATCAGTAATAATAATAATAATAAAAAAGAAGGTTGGTCGATGATGGGTTCCGACTTCACCATGAAAGCCGGTACATCCCTTTGCAGCGATTTAAGATGTAACTAACATGTGTAATGTGTAGAGAAAAACATGAATACCTTTGCTCCAATCTGGTTTCCGCACTGGCCGGCTTGCAAATGCACAATCTCGCGCATTATGGACGAAGATTTGAGCGACGAGGACAGCTGCAGATGGGTGAGAGGCGCACGGAGGATGGTGGTTGCTCTGAGACTGGAGTAAGGATGGGACTGGATTTGGGTGCACCGCCTCTCGCACGTTCACTTGGTGGAGCGGTGGCGCTACGTTACGTCATCGTCATGGAAACCACAGAACGGAGGAAGGAGAGAGGGCACGCGGGAGGAGGTGTGTGATTTCTACATCTATGGTACCGTGTAGTATTCTCACCTCAGCACTAGGAGGACATCTGTTGCAAGTACGCTATGCCTTACAGGCCATTGAAGCTGTGTAGCTGTTTCAAACATGAGACCACATTCGGTTAAACCAGGCCTAAATAACCTGGTTAATCATTTGTAGACTTATAGGATCATACTATGCATTGTATACTTAAAATTTGCTAAAAGTAGCTAATCCGCAACATTTACATTTGTTCACACATGTTCGTTGTATATATAGTAAATATAGAAATTAATAAATAAAACAAACGAAGACAAACAAAAACACAGTGCACCACAAGAAAGCGCTCGACCCAAGGGATACATTTAGTGGTAAAAAATTCAACACGTCAGTTTTTGAAAGACTTATATACATTTACATAATACATACATATATACCATACATTTTATTATAACCCTATTTTTCTTTTCGACTACAATGGCCGGATTTTAATTGTTCCATCCCCCCAATAAAGTAACTTTCTACAAAAGTAGGAGTGGTAAAACGTGGAATAGTAGTGATAATATTAATGAATTGTCTGGTATTTAAGGCTAATAAAATTAATTAATGATCTAATAACAAATTTGTATGCAGATGGTTTCAGATTTGGAATGTGGTGCTGATAAATAGGCGTCACAGCATAAGTCAGATCAAGAGTGCTGACTAATCTATATTTATCCACTGCGCACCCTCCTGTTTGCAGCTGCTTATTTAGCAGCTGTTTTTGTGCTATTTCAGTGTTCTAAATGTGTTATGTGCAAGTTTTACTCATAAAGATGAGTAATATTTAAGCCTATGCAAACACACTCACATGATTTTAGAACAGTTTGTGAATCATAGCTCCACAAACATCACTCAAAAACCACATCTATCATACCGTTTGTATAATGCAAGCGTCTTAAAGAATAATTACGTTTGGCTTTTGACAAACTGTCATAAACGTGTTTTACTGGTTTGAAGGATCAACAGAGAAGTGTGCTGAAATCTACCACAATGCTTTTTACCATAAAGTACCCTACATACTTTGAAGTATGGCAAGAATGCTTAAAAATGAAACTTTTGTTTTTCAGTTTTGTTCATTTTGTGAGCGGTGCGTCGATTCTCATCCCTATCCTGACTGATTGCATTCCAAACATGCTGCAAGTTAACAACAGGTTTAAAGTTATCTAGCAACTGGCCAATGAGCTTTTATTTCCTGTTTGCCAGCCTTGGCTCATGTGCTGTTTGTCACAGTCCTGCTTGTGTTACTCCCATAGAAGACATGCTGAGGGAAACCAGCACTTCACCGCAACAATAGGGCAGCATTGAGGAAACGACTTGATGAATGAGAGATACGACTTAAGTGGCTTAAAATTGGTTTGTTTTGTTAGATATCATGTCACTTCCAGAGGAGGACCTGACTTGCCCTGTTTGCTGTGACATCTTCACAGACCCAGTGCTGTTGCCTTGCAGCCACAGCTTCTGCAGGACATGCCTCAAACGCTGCTGGGACACCGGTATGCGAGAATGCCCAGTGTGCCGCAAAAAGACATCCAAAAATTGCCCTCCGTCAAATCTGGCTTTGAAAAATGTCTGTGAAGCGGTAGTTGAAGCGAAGAGGAAGTCGATTGCGGTAGAAGATCTGAACAGTTGTTGCTTGCATGGCGAGAAGCTGAAATTATTTTGCCTGGTGGACAAACAGCCTATTTGTGTGGTCTGCCAGTCGTCAAAACTCCACAAAAGTCATGATTGTTCGCCCATTGAGGAAGCAGTGCTGGATTGCAAGGTAAGGACTAATAACATTGTTAGTACGCTGCTAAGAAAACGTTGCAAGGGAACACCTAAAGTTAGAATGCTGCTCCACTTGTCTAAGGCATCCACTCCTAACTAGCAAAAATTACATGATGATTTGTTCTCCTCTCACCTTTTGTTTTGTCATTGCTATAGGATGAACTTTCTATATCCCTTAAAAGCCTCCAAGAAAAACTGGAAGAGCTCAAACGGATACATAGGACATCTGCAGACTTGTTTACATACATCAAGGTAAAACCCCCCCACAAAAAATAGCTTGAATCAACTTGAAACTGAAAATAGTTTGCTTATCTAATCACTTTACAATTTTGTAGGGTCAGTCCTTAGCCACGCAAAATGTTATAAAAAGTCAATTTGAAGAGCTGCATCAGATCCTAAATCAGGAAGAACGTGCCAGATTATCAGCAGTTACAAAAGAGGAACAAGAGAAAATTGCAAGAATGAAAGACAAAACGAAAGAGCTGTCTGCCGAAATGCTCTGTATCGCCGAAACCATCGACCTGATACAAGACGAGCTGAAAGAAGAGGACATTGTGTTGCTAAAAGTGAGTATGCCTCAATCTGTTTAAGTAGTTTGAAAAAATTATTTAAAAAGAAATTACGCTATATCACTATATTTTTGTGTTTTTCAGAATTTCAGAGACACTCATGACAGGTAAGCTTTTATTTTGTGTGGCAAAACTATGTTCACAAAAATCACTATACCAATCAAGACCTTGTGACGTCAAACTTATTATCAATAGTGGTTTATCTCTCAATCTAGGGGTTGATTGTCTTTTGTTTTGTATTGATTGATTGATTGATTGTTTTTTGTGGTTGTATTGACTTAAATGTACTGTTAAGGTCAAAGTCTATCCCTCTATCTCTTAGCCAATCTATCCATCTTTCTATCCATTCTACAGCTGAAAGTGTAAGTTTATATACACTGTGTTTTTTGTCATTGTTAAATATGACAAAAGTTTTCCTACTTTACTAAAAATGGTTCTTCCAAATGGACAGTGACCCCAAGAATATATGGCTTTATCCAATGTTTTGGTTTTGGAGTGGGCATTGTAAAGCCATGATCTCAATCCCATAGAAGTTTCATTGTTAGACCTCAAAAGACATGGACAGAACAACAAGACACTTTTGAAACCTGACATAATTGCATAAGATGTATAATTCTTGTTGTCTGGGCTGTCTTGGCTGGCCCTGCAATAGAATGTAACTGTTTTGTCTATCTCTCGAGTATCTCAAAACAAATGTCATACCACTATTACATTAGACACTTTGTTTTTGTTTGTGCCACTAATCAAATATTTCCCTCTTTCACTTCAGGAGCAAAAGCATTCCCCTGGGTTCAGACGCAGCAGGAGCCCTCATAGACGTCACCAAGCATCTGTCTAACCTGAAATACAAAGTGTGGGAGAAAATACTGGACCACATCGACTACTGTAAGCCCGCCTTGACTTTGACTTTCATTGTCTGGAGCACTTAAACACTCATTTGGCGTGTCTCACTTCCTGTGTTCTTTCTTTTTTTTGTTTTTTTCTGCAGCCCCGGTGATATTGGACCCGAACACTGCCCACCCTTGCCTCATCCTGTCTGACGATCTGACTTCCCTGCATTACTCGCGCCAGCCCCTCTCCTGCCCGGACAACCCCGAGCGCTTCCACATGAGCGCGGAGGTGGTGGGCATGTTGTCGTTGGGGTCAGGAAGTCACCATTGGACTGTGGAGATAGAGGGCAACCAGGACTGGCTTCTAGGAGTGGCCTCTCTCTCTGTCCCGAGGAACTGTGAGGTCACTGCGCGTCCTGAGAATGGGTTTTGGACATTGTGCTACAGGGATGGGGAGTTCCTGGTTATGACCTCGCCCCCGGTGCCTTTGACGCTGTCTAAAAATCCCAAGCAAATCAAAGTGGAGCTGGACTACAATAAGGGGATTTTGTCCTTCTATGATGCTGTGGACGATACGCTCCTTTACACATTCACACAGACGTTCAAAGAGGCGCTGCTGCCGTATTTTTACACTCAAAGCAGTCGCCCTCTGACAATAATGCCGCAAAAAGTGCTAGTCACAATGTTACACCACTGATATATATATATTTGGTAATGCTTTATATTAAGGTGTGCTTGTTAAGTATTAATAAGGTATTAATAGACATTAGCAACATGCTTATAGATTGCTTATATGTACTTATAAACATATTAATAAGCTGCTCATGTCACTATTCTCTAAATTATGTTGTTCTAGTTATATGCTTTTAAGCATTTAATAAGTAATTAGTAAGATACTTATTAAAGGAGGAATATGTTTATAAATATATGAATAAGCTGCTTATTAAACTATTATCGATACCATGTTAATAGGCCACTAACAATATGCCTATAAAGATATTAATACGCTGCTTATTAATAGGCAATAGTGGTAATAGGCCACTAAAAATATGCGTTCATAAACTGCTTATTACACTATTTTGCAGTACCCTAATCTAAAGCGAGGAGCATTTTTGTTAATGCAGAAAAAAACACAACAATGATCTAAGATGTTTTTATTTATTCCAACAGCAACAATTAAAGTCTAAATGAAAAAATATATCAAAATTAAGTTTGTGCCAAAAGTTTGTTAGTAACTTCAAGGAGCCATGATGAACACACTCATGCTCCGACCTGCTCTGTTAATGAATTTGGCTTTGGCAAAACAGTGAATCAGCTGACTTCACGAGCCTGAGAGATTAGCGGACAGGGGTGGGAACCTAAGGGTACCTCACGATACGATACGATACAAAGCTCACGATAAAGATTACAATAACGATTTTATCACGATATGACGATTATTGATATATTGGTCAGAAATATACAATATGCCAATTTATGGCATAAATAAAATAAAAAATACTCTTTATTTCATGATAAATAGAATGGAGATGCGTAATGTAGCCATATATTAAGTATTGATACCAATAAAAACGGAAAAAAAAGGAGAAAAAAAAATTGCGGGAGAAAGTATCGTCACACCCCTATTAGCGGAACTCGCCTATTTTTGGGCATCGTCTGGTCCTCCCGGTTCTGCGCAGTTGACGAGCTCCCATGATGCTTTGCGCCAAATACGCGTGCGTGGCTGTCATGCACATGCACATAGGGGCCGCATTCTGACCAATCAGAGCTGCTGATCAGAGTGGGAGTTAGAGCGGGAGTAAGAGCCAGACGAGTAGAGTTTGTGGCAGTAAAATGTGGATTTAAAGAAAACTGAAGTATTTAAGAAGAAAAAAAGTTCAGGATGACAAGGGACACTAAAATCCCCACAAAATCCGACCTTTATGAAAGCTGTAGGTTCTCTGTCAGGTTCTCTGTCAGCTGAGGTCGAGCTGTTTTAGTTTACATTGAGTTCTATGGGGACAATTTCTAGGTAGCCCACGTGAATTTTGTTTGCAGTACCACGAGAATCTCCCGGTCTACAAGCTAGTAATACCCTATCCAGTTATTATAATAGATCCATGTATACAACGCACCTGTGGCACAACCATGGAACTATAATAATAACTGGATAGTGTATTCCTATCTTATAGCTGTCCCACCCATGGGCACAGGGGGCGCTGTGGTACTGCAGACTAAATTCACGAGGGCTACCCAGAAAAAGTCCCATAGAACTCAATGTAAATTAAAACAGCTCGACCTCAGCTGACAGAGAACCTGACAGAGAACCCACAGCTTTCATAAAGTTCAGATTTTCTGGGGATTTTAGTGTCCCTTGTCATCCTGAACTTTTTTTCTTCTTAAATCCTTCAGTTTTCTTTAAAGTGGTTCTCACCCCCGCTCCTCGGAGCTTACGTCACTCACATTTCCTGTTCAAATCTTCCTCTAAATGGGCGTAGCCTAGAGGACTAAAGGGGGCGTGAACGAGACTGGGCCGTTTATATAGCTCTAGGCGGGGGGCTGCTGACGTCAGGTCTCAGGCAAAATTCAAATGTAGTAACACAGGTTGCCAGCAGATGGCGCCTCACAGATGGTTTTAGGCAGAAAGTTTAACTTTCAACTAATTTGCACCAAAGTGACAAAATTATGACCAGGATATGTAGACAACACTATTGGACACTCATTTATATCGTTTATCAGCAAAAAAAAGTGGATTTGAGGGTGAGTTGTCCTTTAAATCCACATTTTACTGCCACAAACTCTACTCGTCTGGCTCCCGCTCTAACTCCCGCTATAACTCTCGCTCTGATCAGCAGCTCTGATTGGTCAGAGCATGGCCCCTCTGTGCACGTGCATGACAGCCACGCAAAGCATCTTGGGAGCTCGTCCACTGCGCAGAACCGGGAGGACCAGACGATGCCCAAAAATAGGCGAGTTCCGCTAATCTCTCAGGCTCGTGAAGTCAGTTGATTCACTGTTTTGCCAAAGCCAAATTCATTAACAGAGCAGGTCGGAGCATGAGTGGGTTCATCATGGCTCCTTGAAGTTACTAACAAACTTTTGGCACAAACTTAATTTTAATATTTTTTTTCATTTAGACTTTAATTGTTGCTGTTGGAATAAATAAAAACATCTTAGATCATTGTTGTGTTTTTTTCTGCATTAACAAAAATGCTCCTCGCTTTAGATTAGGGTACTGCAAAATAGTGTAATAAGCAGTTTATGAACGCATATTTTTAGTGGCCTATTACCACTATTGCCTATTAAAAGCAGCGTATTAATATCTTTATAGGCATATTGTTAGTGGCCTATTAACATGGTATCGAAAATGGTTTAATAAGCAGCTTATTCATATATTTATAAACATATTCCTCCTTTAATAAGTATCTTACTAATTACTTATTAAATGCTTAAAAGCATATTTCTAGAACAACATCATTTAGAGAATAGTGAAATGAGCAGCTTATTAATATGTTTATAAACACTATAAGCATGTTGCTAATGTTTATTAATACCTTATTAATACTTAACAAGCACACCTTAATATAAAGCGTTACCATATATTTTTATTATTAAAGCTGGGGTATCTAACTTAAAAAAAACACAAACATCGACTACATAACAAAGTCCCTCTCACTTTCAATTTTTTTTTTATCACTAGTTTTACATGGATGTATTTTTTGGCCTCTATCACAGCTTTTTCAGACATAAAAGTGGAATGGAGAGGACTCCTCTCCCTCAGCCAATCAGATGACAGTGACTTACAGCAAAATATTCAAAAGATAATATAATTTCTATAAAGATAAAGACATAAATTAGTTTTCTGAATGGTTCACAACATGTTACTTTTGGGACACTTTTTCTTTCTTTTTCTTCTTTTTTAAAGTGAGGTACTCCAGATTTAAAGTGCAACAACAGGGTTGATTTCATGTGATGAAATTGGTATTTAGGCTACTTTGATTGTTTACCTGCACAGTCCATAACACCTACAGTAATAGTTTAGGTCCCATGAGCTAATGACGGATTTGCGAGCCTAATAAGATATTTCTGCAAATATTTTGTACATGAATTTTTTTTTGTATTAGTTTATAAACATCGGTTTATTTTTCTATAATAAATGCGTTTGCACTGCTCAAGCCATATAGTACATGGATTTATCAGGGGTTTAACTACTAGTTCTGAACTGCGTCCCCCCCTCATTATTTTGAATAACACATTCATAAATGGTGATTTTTTTTTTGTCCTCCCTTCAGAAGAATATTTTAATATGCAAGATTGATATTTAGTCTTCAGCTTAATGTGTTTTGGGCTGGGGCCGATAGGAGGAGCAAGGGTCACAGCTAATTAACTTTTCAATCTTTGAAAAAAAAAAAAAAAAACGTTCTAAAGCCAAAAAATGCTTCATTTTTTGTTATGTAACAAATGGTTTGTGAATATTTGCAGTTTGAAAAAAGAGGTACTTCATCTTTGATTAAAAAAAAACAAAAACACTGGATTGTTTGTAGAATTATAGTATAATAAAATTGTCCATTGCAAATACACAAGATAAAATGTTATATTTTACTTGAATACAATATATTTTTATGACTTGTGTGCACATGATGGCGCCAAAGTCCAAAAAATAAATGGTCTCACCAGTAGGAGGCCACATGTCTGCTGTACAGAGGAAAGGCACTGCCCACTGACCATGGATGTATTATACTGACTGGCAACTCTCTCGAGGTAGGTAACTAAGCCACAATGAAAATATAAGCTATAACTGTGTTGCTGTATATAAAGCAATGTTACAAAGGAGTGAAGTAGCAAAATAATGATAAAAAGAAAAATATAGCTCAGCAGAGATGTACTATTTGTTTAATATATGATAATAAAGTACTTAAAAGGCTCTGTATGCTGTGCCACTACTGCAGATAGAGCGACTGTAGTCCAGATGCACGGCCAGACTGCTCTAAGCCATTTTAATTGTCTTTATTTATTTGAGCATTAGCAAGTGAAGTTATTGCAGAACATGAATCAATGTTACAGAAAAAGACAAGAAAATGCTCAAAGGGAGAAGACACATGGTTTCTATCTGAGTGCACCTATCTCCCCATTCATCAGATGACCAAGTTTCTTTAAAAACATTTACACTTTCAATGCAATAACAAAAAGAACAATTATAGGACCTAATATGATGAAGGCCCAGTGCCGAAACGTGCTGGCTTTTTAGTTAATTATTTAGGCGAGAAGAAGGTCCTGGGTTCAAATTCCGGTCGGAACATGGCCTTTCTGAGTGGAGTTTGAATGTTCTCCCTCTGTCCACCACTAAAAACCTGCACAATAGGTATGAATGTAATGAGTGAGTGAGTGAGTGATTAAGTGAGGTGTAGGGTTAGGGTTAGGGTGAGTTCCGCATCTTGTTTCATCACCATGCAGAGAGAATGGAAAAACATCTGAATTCTGAGCATTGTGAAGTGCTTTGCGTGACCCTGGTCTTTAATAATGAGCTATAAAGATGGCAAGGCAAGGCAAGTTTATTTGTATAGCACATTCATACACAAGGCAATTCAAAGTGCTCAACAAGACAAAATAGTATTCAAATCATAAATAATCACAGAACATTAAAAAGAAAGATAAAAATATAAAATCCCTCAGTTGTATGCACAGCTAAACAGAACCGTCTTTAACCTGGTTTTAAAC